GTACACATACACACCCACTTACTGCTGTATTCCCAGGCCCAAGATCCTGGTAGTCTATGCAAATGTGTAAGGAGATTTCTTTCTTCCTGCTTCCACCCCTGCATGGGTGTGAAGTCCAAGTCATCATCTAGCCCACAGACCACAATTTTTTATAAAATAAGCATTATGGAAGGAGGAATCCTATTGGCTGACAAAGGTCATGACAGTGAGCCTATGCAGTATAACTCTCCATTACCAGACATTGTATGCCCAATTTATCCAGGGGTGCATACCAGTGGGCAGAACAGGGTACTGAAGTCTATTCTTGTCTCTGCCGCTAACTTACTATGTGACCTTGGGCAAGTCACTGAAGCATACTGTCACACTGAAGTATATAGATTAATCATCTATAAAATAACAAATAATAATCCTGACCTACCTACCTCCCTAGGTCATTTGGAGTCTTAATGAGGGAACATTTTTAAACACCAGCAAGCTGTTGAAATTACAGCCAATTACAGCTCACATAGCCATGGAAAGGGATGATAGATCAGCAAAAACAATACAAAGGTTTTACAGTATTATTTGCTCCCTAATAGTAATGATGATCACAATAAAATATGTAGGTTTCAGCTGAGGAACTCAAATCCTTTTGCAAACATTAATCCCATTATATTGCATAATACTCCTGAGACATAGGCAAAGTGTACAGGGGGACATTGATTTCAATGGGATTTAGGCTCTTAACTGCTTTTGAGGATCTGGGTCCAAGAGCACAAGGCCATTGCAAGAGCAGCAGCTACTGTTCAAGACGCTACAAGTGGGGAAGCAGCCCTTCATCACCAACACATCCCATCCACCAACACTTTAATCTATCCTATCTCTCTGCTGCATGCACCAGCCACCAGTCTCCTCTTTTGCATGTACGGAGTGCTGGGTAGTAACATGGGAGGTCTCCATGCTTGTAAAACTAAACGGGCTCTTTATTAAGACAACTATTTCAGGGTTGTTTCGAGCCCTCATGAAATGTGAGCACGAACCAGCTTCCTAGTGCCTGCTCCAAACTCTTCCCTCTTGCAACCTGCATTCCTCCTCCAAATTCCAGGCAGGCTGCTACCTCCTCCAAGACACTGAGCTTTCTTTGTGATTCTCCTCTCCTGAATGCTGCCTCTTAGCTCTGCACCTGAGACACCCCTGTTATTGGTTGTCCTTAGCAGAGACTGTCAACCATCCAGTGGTTATGATGAGCACAAACAGGCAGCAAAGGTGAGCCCACCAAACTCATTTCTGTTGACTCCATAGATAAAAGGCTAGCACACTAGGTCACTACATTAACTGCCCACTGAGAGTGCAATTCACTTCACCTGCATAAAGACCAGCTGACCACGTTTTATGCAGGTAATAGAAATCAGGGAGGCAAAATATACCCCGCATTTAACTGGGAGGATGTTCCCCCCAAAAGACTGGTTAATTTTCCAGTGTCCAACTCAATTGTTAAATTAACCACCTAATACAAATATGAGAGAGAGAGAGGATTTAACACCCAGCAGCTTTGAGACCCTTTGGTTTGCAAGTTTTTCAAATGGAACCTGATTTCTCTGTCCTGTGCTGTATCATCAAACAAGGCCTCCAGATGGGGAAGGATAGTTAAAATGGCAGTGAGAGACAGCAGCACGCAGGAAGGGTCTAAGCCTGCTGACTGCCTTCAATGCTCCTACATTTCAGCTGAAATGGAGGGTGTTCAGGAGGAGCTCAGCACCTCTTAGGATAAAATTCTAAATGGTCACAGTGGAATGGGGAAATGGCCAGTGATTTCTGAGGAGTGTTCTGAACATTTTTTGTATTTAAGGTGGGATTTTCAAAAATGCCCAAACAACTTTGGAGCACAAATCCCATTAATGTCTAAAAACCACACCTGCATGGCCTTAGATCCCAATCCTGCAAACATTTACAGATATGAGTAGCCTTACACACATGACTACTCTCACTGAGTTCAATGGGGCTACTCACATATAGAGAGTTATGTAGGATGGATCGCATTTCCAGGATCAGGGCTTTATTTAGTAAATATTTATTTGGGGACAGATTGTAAACCTCTTACTCGCATTAGTAAACAGTTATTCACATGAGCAGTCCAATTCACTTCAGTGGGCATAAGGGATTCATAGCCTGATCTTTAATGGCCATCTACTAACTGCCGTAGATTTAGTTTGTTTGTTTGTTTAGGTATTTTTTTGTCTCTGTGTGTAATATTTATCTTTAAAGCACAGAAAAAAGTTCTCACAATATATTTCACTTACTGGACATCCAACCTGGTGAGAGATACAATGAAAACAAAGTGCCATAGTGGCTGTGACCAGTGCTGTGTGTGACTGATCACTACTGGAAAATCTCAAACTCAGATAAAAATCATTGGGCTTTTTTTTTTGATGATACATTTGAAACACCTCATGTTGTAAAGGAAACCTGCAATAACGAGATAGTGCGAATGAAAAATAAACACTTCACATGTTTTCAAGCAAACAAAGCAGCATAAAGGCGTCTACTGAAACAGCCATTATAGTTGTATTATTGGAGGGTTGGTATTTTTCTTGCTCCAGCTCTGTGGTTTATTTGAAAGAACACTGACTTTTATTTTAATATAGTCTTATTCAGTATACTCTGTTAAGGTACCCAGAGTCCTTGAGCACCAGTAGATTGCAGATTTCTCAGTGTTATGTATAATTAAGATCAATGTTGATATTCGTCTCCAAAACATTTATTACCAGAGAAGCCGTGAAAACGGTTCTCTAACTTCAGCATCTGAGCAGCAGCAAAGGTATCAGCAGAAACAATTCAAGGATTCTGAAGTCAATGGGACTGTGGCAATGATCATGGATCCCCTTGCAAGGTCAGTGCCCAAGACATTCATGGAAACACTTTATAAAGCAAACAGACTGTGCCGAACTATGGTTAAAGAAGGACCTCCTATTTGAGAGGAAGTTTTCAAGGGATATATCCTATAGCAAGACAGATATCAAGTGTACATACATTATAAGGAGAACAGACATATAACCACTTCTAAACTAAGACTCGTGCCGTGCATACTCGATAACAAACCAGTAAGAGGAAATATTACTTAGTAGAAACTGTTTGATGAAGTCTTCCCCTTCCTTTCCAGCAGTGAGTCTTGAACCAACTGTTTATCCCTACTTACCAAGAAGCAGGGAGGCAAAAAGAGCTGTCACTTTAGGCAAGTGGAAAGGAAGCAAGCAGCAAATTTCCTGCACAAGCTAGAAATAGGCCTTTCCTTTTAACTTTTAGAAGCTGTTCATGTGAACGCAGTGCTTGGGGAAGGTGCAGGACTGGCAGTTCTGGAGACAAGAGTCTTCTACTTAGCCACAGAATAGGTGACAGCTTTCCTACAATGTACTATTAGTGTGAGCCAACTGAGATGAAAGATATACATTTGGGCTTCGTACCCTTCTTTAGTCTTTGGCCTCTCTGCTAAAACTGCCCCTGTGGGTACCTGTCAGGGGAGTGTTTCCTTGTGTCATGTGAAAACCTGCTGTTTGGGAACTGCACTGATGCCACTAAACTCATTTTACATTGGCCACTATCAGTCACTATTAACATGAGCTTCATTTAAACCTGTCAGGTATAATCAAAAGGCTCTATAAGCACTGGAACATGTTACTTGTGGAATCCCCATCAATGGAGGTTTTTAACAACTGGTAACCTCAGGCATGATCTAGGTATATTTAATCCCACCTCAAGGCAGGGGGCTGGACTGGATGACCTCTTGAGGTCTCTTCCAGCCCTAGATTTCTGTGATTCTCTAACCCATGACCAACATCATCCACTCACCCACACAGGGGATATTGACTTGCTGTTGCCATAGCAACTGATTTTTTTCCCTTAGACAAGACAAAAGGAAGTCTGAGGAAGTCTCTGTTCAAAATTATCTTCTTCTCCCATCACTTGGACCATGTCACTCCTCTAATAAGTTTCCTTTAGTGACTCCTGCTTGCTTTCTGCATCAAGTTCTTCCTGCTGGTCCTGACTTTCAGAGCACTTCATATTTCCACTCCTCTTACCTCTCTGGACAAATTTCTACCTACAACCCTTCCTTCACTCTTTGGCTCTGCATCAGCCTTGCTGCCTTGCTCCTGTCTTTGTCTCCACATGCTCCTGTCTCCAAGGTTTCTTTCATACTGCTCTTTATGCCTGGAAAAGCCTTCCACGTCCCATGCATGTATTGACCATGCTCTCCTAATTCAAATGCCTCCTTGAAATGCGCTTCTGCAAAGCTTTTCTGTGATGAACCATCCTGCAACCAAAACTCTATCCACCCCCTTTCCCTCACCCTAACTCAGTCCAGTTCCAACAGACAAGATTTATGAAATACTAAATACATGAGTGATCTACTTGCCAGAAGGAAACAAACTCTTAGGACCTTTAATTGCACCTGACCTCACTTACATTACTTTTACATCAGTGTAACTCCATTAACCTCAGTGGAGAGATTTCTGATTTAGACTGGTGTAACTGAGATCAAAACCAGACCCTCTGCCACTGTTATTGTTTCTTAAACTCTATATAGATTTTAAAGTCCATGATTCTTACGTGAGCCTCTAAAGCACAGTGATGGTACCGTGTGGAGGATAGTCCTAATAAAATGCACAGTACTATGACAACAGATTTCACTGCTCACTCATCTTCCTCAGAGACCAGCACCACTGTAGGTAGCATACAAGTCAGGAAGTAGCATCCTGGTCCCTCTACATGCAGAATGCTATCCGCAGCCCTATGAATTTAAAGTGTGTGTGTTGGATTCAGAGCTTAGAAGTGTGCTTGGAAGAGGGACATGATGGATTCACATATTATACCTCTTAAGAAGCCTTATCCAAATTTTCCTCAAAAAAGTGTGCATCCTTTTAAAGGTGAAATGCAAAGCTAAACTGATTATTGGGTGATGACTGACTATCCCCCACTTCCCAGGAGACAAAGGACAGTAAGCGAAGAAATGAGTTTTAACTTACCTTTTCCAGGTCATTTCTCATCAGTTGCAATGAGGTTTCTGGTATCTTTGATGTCAGTGAGTGATGCATTCTCTGAGATGCTCAGGAAATGAAGTGTCAATGGATTTAACAGAGGGAGAAAAAAATGTCAGAGGTTATTTCTGTGCCAAATATTCCCCATGGCCTGGATAATGGGAGTGTTCAGTATATAAAAACTCAACATATTTTCTTTTTTAGGTCTTCAGTAGAAATATAAAAATTTGCCAACAGAATGTTTTTCTGTTGGAAATGCCAAGTCATCAAAATCAAAACTTTCCCCAAGAATACGACAACTTTGGTGTAATGTCATTTTGAAAAAAAAATTTAAAAGGCCAACAACTTCCATTTCAACCTTATCAGGATAGAGCATTTCAATTTTTCATTTCAAAGTGACATTTTGCTAAAAATTACATTTTATTGTATATTATGTTATAAATTAAAATATAAACTTTTTTAAAAGTTGAAATCAGAATGAAATATTTCAAAATTATTGAAACGGAAAGTTTTGACTGATCCAAAATGAATTTCTTTTGAAAATTTTGGTCTGTAGGAAATATGAGTAGTCTTTACCTACTCTTACCTTATCTAGTACTCTTTGAAATGGCACTTGGTTAAAGAGCACTAGAGAATTTTTAGTGGGCACCAGCAGTGTCTACACAGACCAGTTGGTGCACAACATGTTAATGTGCTTTAGAAATCACACCCCTGTAGTGTTCATTGCTGCACCATGTAGACATGCCTGTACAGCATTGCAAAACAGGGGTCACTCCATTGAAATCAGGGGAGTTACACTGCTATAAAATCAGTGTAAGAGAGATCAGAGTCAGTCTCCTTATGTCTACACTCCAAGGTAGAGTTAGCCATGGCTGTTGCCATCAGCCTAACCTTATCTAAAGCAGCATCACAAAGGAAAGAATTTGAGTGGATGGCGTTCATAATTATCCTTATTCTCTCATGAATTGGGCCATTGTATAAAGACCATGGTAGAAACTGTTTCCAGGGATGATGGAGGAATCTTTGAGGAAGAGGTCATGGTTAGAACCACTTTGAGAACCAACAGTACTGTCACCTAAGTGCTTCCAAGCAGGAGAAATGCCTGAATGTTGGTTGTATCCAAATGAGTTACAGAGTCTGTGGGCTGTGTAGACTACAGGTGTGTCCCTTGAGGGAAAGAAGAGCTGTCTTCAGAAGACCAATCCACTGAGGGGCAGAAAGGACTAAAAGTCCAGATGGGTAAAACTAAGTCCAGAGGTTGATTGTGAAACCTGGCAGAAGGCCAGAGGAACTGTTTGTCTGTAGTGTGAGTTAATTTTAGTCTCCAATTTTTATTACCCAATTACCTCCCTCAGCCCAATACAACATCTGATACAAAAAACTCCCTGGGAAACACTTAGGGTCTGACTTTTCAGGGGTGTTGCGCATCCACAATTCCAGCTGAAATCACTAGGGCTTGCCAGGAGAGAGGCAACCAGATTGGGACAAGAACAAGTCCTGTCAATTCCCCCTGAGAAGACAAAACATTTTCTCTGCAAGACATTAAAGGGTGAACAAGGTTTATCCACTTGTGCCCATTCCCTATTAATGAATTCCATAAAGGATGCTTACGTGGAAAATTAAATGACTTCTTTGTGTGGCCAAAAGAAATAATCCTTGTAAGGCAAGAAGGCAAAGAGGAGAGATTTCAGCCCCTTTAAACAAAACAGAGGACCTTGCAATCTGGCTCTTGATCTAATTCTGAGCCAAGGAGCTGCCATATTGTACCATAATGGGGAAACCAAGCCACCTGCAGCCTGTCACTTCTATTGGACCTCCACAGAGCACACTGGGACAGCAGAATACGGTGGTATCCAGGCCTGAAGGACCATGCAAACTTCCTATTTCAGATGTAGCTAATTAATTTGCTGCTCCACTGCAAGAAAAAGAATGCCTGAAGCCCCCCAGTGGGGATCAGAAGCCATGAGAACATGCTTCCCCAAAAGCCTTACTATTCTGTAAAAGTAGAGGCCATTCGTAGGATGGCTGACTGCTAGCAGGTGTCCTCAGCACAAGCTTGCCAAACTGAAAGAAGGAGGAGGAACAGGAGGCTTTCCCATTGGTGGGAGAGTACTCACCAGTGTCACCTCCAAGCATTCAAAAATCATGAAGCAGGCCCCAAAAATTCAGGAGTGGCTTAAAATTAGGAGAGTTTTAAAAAGAATAAATCGGAGGTGTTACTTGTCTTCTGGTGTCACCATCATTAGAGGTCACATTTTCAAGGCTTTCTCTGCAACCGTGAGAGCTATGAATTTACTTTTTTTGAATGAAAATTGAGATTTCTACATAATCATATGACTCCAGGAGCTGGGACTTTAAGAAAAGCATCTGCTATCATGAGACCCATGACAAAGTCACAAGAGTTGACCACACTGAGTACATCCAGACATAACCCTGGCCAAATGTATGGTCGTACATGAGCCCTATTGTCAGCTACCCTTCCTGGCACTACTTCTTATTGTAACCCTCCCCCACAACACACATACCTCAAAGAAACAAGTGGGGCCAATTAGTAGTTCTGGAATAAAAGCATGCAAAATACACCATTTTGTGTTGTTTTAATATGAAACTAGCTGAAACTTAGTGGCTTAGGTGAAGTTTCACTTTGTGATTTGTGGTATACTGGAGCCTGAAAATCCAAGTGAAACTCTGGAGGTGTGAATCCATGTGAATCAGAACTAAAGAAATCCCTAGGAACTAACACCTCAGAATTTCATACAGGTCTAGAGAAACGTTCATATGGTGCATATGTATATGTATATAGTTATTTGTAATTATATATCTTTGGTCTTCTTTTAGAAGCTATGGTCAAAATGTTCAAACTTGAAGGCCTAAAGATAAGCACACCTAAAATTCATATGTAGGCATCTGAACAGTGGCATGATTTTCAGATGTGTGAAGCACTTGACGTCATTGGCCATTTGAAGTCAACAGGAGCTGAGGCTGCTCAACACCTATGAAAATCAGGCCACCAGGTTAAGGTATCTAACTTTAGTCACCTTTGACATGATCCGCATCTCTGTCCCAGCACTTACTCATCTGTGCCTCCGTGTTCTGTCTGGCTCACAGGTGAATCCACATATAGCCCTACGCTTCAAGTAACATCTGCTCCTCCACCAGGATGGGGAAACCTGGCGAGATGGTTGATTAAGATATACACTACAAACAGTTCCCTTGGCCCTCCGAGCAGCAGAATTTCACAATCAGCCCATCCCTTCTCCCCTTCATGGATGTGCACGTGTCCTTCCTTCAGCTACTAAATTGTTGACATTTAAACAAATATGCTTTACTTGAACATCTGTGTGAATGCAATCACAATAAATTTAAAAATAAGAAAACACCAGATCTTCCTCAATCTCTCCCAGGCTCTCTTCCCAAGCCTCCTACTGGGTCACTTTGTAGAGCTCTCCCCATATATTTCTTCTGTCCTGGTCTCCCAAGAGTAAGCCACTCCTTTTATAGCAAGCCTTGCTTTCATCTTGTAGACATACGAACCCTCTACCACATGCACCATTCCCAAAAACCCATCCTTGAAAGGGCAGCATCTCCAAAACAGGTGTGCTGGTTGTGCTGGGACTAGAACTGGTCAATTTTTTTTCTGTCAAAACTGTTTTGTTTGTTTGTTGTTTTACAGAACATTGGGGTTTTGACTAAACATTTTTTCATGGAAAGTGTCTGCTTTCCATGGAGAATTTTGACTTTTCTGAAAAAACAAAAACCCATTAAACAAAAGCTTTTCAGCTCAAAATGTTTGGCATTCATTTTTAAGTCAAAAATTTCCACAGAAAATCGCAATGAAAACTATTTTGATTGAAATTTTCTGAGGAAAAAGAAAAAGATTTTTCTGACCAGCTGTAGCTGGAACTTTTAATGCCCTGGTTATAGCACCCACATTTGAAAATGTTGGCGTAGGTTTTAGTGAAGTTTGTTATTGTGTTTTGGATTCTTTGTGTTTGTGGGTATATGTATGTTGCTTTATATTTGCTGCACTCTTAAGAAAATCTTAGTGTTTATGTATTTTTTAATCTATTTATTTACATAGTTTAAACAGCTTTTCAAATCCTTGCCATATAAATTTCAGAAACAAAACAGTGATCATTACAGCAGTGAGCTTTTGTTGAGAGAAACGTTATACAGTAATATAACCATCGGCTCTTTCTATGTATCAGGGTGTTACCATATTACTGAGTGAGCCTCTTGACATTACCCAGGAAGAGTTGTTTCTGTTGATTTTATTATTCTGATTGCACGTATTTATCAAACCCGGCATGTCCATCAAATGTTAATATTCAAAAAAAATGGACAGGTGTGCTGAGTTTTTTGTCTGAAGGAAATCTTAGGTTTTAGACACCGTTTTGCAAAGACAAAAAGAAAAGGAAGAGGAAATCCTGCAAAGAGTTTGGGTTTAACTATTATTTTTCCTGGCAAGTATATTCTATTACTTTTAAATATGATATGTAGTAAGGATTCCGTGTCTTAATATGTCTCTCAGTATAAAAACAAAGGCCCAGTAGCATTGTATACAAGATCACTTTCTTAAATGTATGCTTACCAGGTCCTTTCAGAGGTCCAGAGAGTCCCAGGCCACTTCCAGCTTTTGAGGCCCCTAGCCACAATACTAATAAAAAATGACGATACATGAAAACAAAATAAGGCGCCAAAAAAGAGTATAAAAAAGAATATTTTTTTATTTAACAAATGCTTTTCTAGCCTTTTTCTGGGCAAATGCACTAATTAGTAAGGGAAAATCTAGCTTTCGTGCACATAAAAACAAGTTGCGAAATTTATCAAATGCCAAAAAATTAACAAGTGTCTACATTTGAGGCCCCCTTTGAGCTTGAGGCCCAGGCCAAATGGCCCTCCTGACCCCCACTCTGATTGGCCCTGTAAGCTGCTAAAGCATGCAAATCTCTTACCAATAAATAGGGGCAAATGATAGCAGCATCTTGAAGGAGGAGGTAAGTCATCTTGCTCATCAGTTAGATTGATCCCTGTACTCCAGGGGTGATTGGACACAACCATCAGCATATTGTAGCTAGTCGTGGAGCAAGCCATTCAGACACCAGTGAAAACTTTCAAGCAGCCAGCAAAACACTCAGATGCGTGTACAGGAAAAGTACATTACTGAGCTTAGCATCTGTGACTTGCAGCTGCCAAGTATCTTCCATGTGTTGTTACAGCTGTTGAGTCTCCTGCTAAGGAAGACAGAACAGAAGGATGAAAAGAAAGCATCATCGAGAATGTTCAGCTACTGGAGAACAGTGCCAAGCAGGTATTTAAGTTACATGCCTGCACAAACTAAGTCCTCTAAGCATGTGAGCTCACTGCTATTTGCCT